AAGTAAAATTTTCTTGTTGAGGTCAATAGTGATACTTTGCAAAGGTTCCCACTAACCTTGTCCGTATGGATTTGAAATGTGAACATGCCTCTATCCTTGGTAAAAAAATGAGCCCGTTTGGTCGAGTTGTAATGAAGATATTCAACTTTTTCTTTGTGGAGTTACTTACTGGACACCCTATATATGACATTTTTAGTCATTCAACTTTTTTGGCGTATTTCTCAGCCAAACGGTGATAAAATCGAAATAAAATATATATATTCCTGACCAGCTTTTCATGCTCTATCAAACCATATATAAATGAGCCAAAAACAAAATTCACTGAAATTTTTCATTTTCGCGACCTTACATACTATAGAAATAAAAAATAATAGAAGGGTGTGGGCGTGGACGTCGAGTGAGTTTGCTTTAAGAAAAGACGTATACCCACACCCACACCCTGTCTGTTGTTTATTTATGCACGACACTTCGTATGATTTGTTATACAATAGAGAGTCTTCGCATTTAAACGAGCAATAAAGCATAGATTTGGTTTAAAAGTGTCCCGATAGTGCATTTGTCTGATCAGTCAGTGTCGTAATCATTACTGTATAAGTATCACCACTCGTCGGTTGAGATGTTCCGATTAAATCAAACTGAGCTACAGCTTTGTATGGACTACTATTCGGTCCAATTGTTTGTCCCTTCACAATTGTCCATGTATAAATGACCTCTGCACCATTATCTACATGAGATTCACTCATGCTTCCATCCGGAAAGCTGTTGAACATTCCAGTGTATCTAGCACCGACGATTTTTTGTAGAGTAATAGTAATAGTAACATTGATCAAAGTTGTAGAACAACTTAATGTTACACGTTCGGTGCCATAATAATTACTTGTAGTAGCCGATACAGCGACACTAGCCGGAAAGTTAGGTATAATCTATTGAGAGATAATATTGGGAAACGAAGCATATAATAGATAAATCTTACTGTTGTACTTGTTGAGCTTGTTGTACTTGTTGAGCTTGTTGAGCTTGTTGGATTTGTTGAGCTTGCTAGACGTGTTGAGTTTGTTGAACTTACTGTACTGACAACAGCTGTTGTGGTGGTTACCGCGTTTGTGATATGAACTGATGAATCTATTCACAATATACAGCCAAAGGTTAGCCTACACACCAAAAAATTGTTCTTTGAAAGTAGTCCATACGGATGCTGCCCTTCGCAGCCGAATTTGCATTTTAGAAATGAAAAATTCCTACGGAGAAGGAGATGGACAGAACTTTATATTTTACTAACTTTGAAATATTTACTTTTGTGAAAAATACTTCAATGATACTTCATTGGACTTCAACACTACTTCGCCACATTATGCTCTATAAGTCTTTCCAGGAAACTAGTTTCTCGAACCACAAAAAACATCCATGAAGAGAAAAGGAGTTTCCAAAAAAGTAAGCTGATTTCCAAGAAATCAACTTACTTTTTCGAAAACAAACCAATTTTTTATAGCACACACAGTGTAGACATGGGTCCACGCAAAACATATACATGCATCATCTAAGCGAGAGCTCACGGGAACGTAGCCTCATTTGAAGCACCTGACGTCTATTGTACATTTTATGCTTATTATGCATATTATGGCTTTTATGCCGTCATAGATTGCACAAGAACTTATCTCCGGATTTTTCATCAGCTTAACCAGTTTCTTGGAAACTAATAAAACGCATCAAAGTGACATCTATTAGCCGAAGTAGTTTATCGAAAACACAATTTGTGATATCTCCCAAAAAATGGTATCTTTTCCATGGATTCATTTTATTTAAGATTCCTAATGGCCAAACAATCGCTAGTACACATATGGTTACTGTTGCAAAAGTCGCTGATGACTCGTTTGAAGTCTTCGTATCTACACAGTTCAAACAAATGATACCGCCACACTCAAAATCCATTCCTCTAAGTGTTTCAGAATCCGATGACTTTGATAGTGCTCTTATTTTTTTCCTTATCGATCTTTCTACCTATTAGGTGCAATTGCTAACGCTGATGATCTGGAACTGACTTATCTAATATATACCATTAGATCGTTATAGATTTTCGAACAAAGCAAAATTATCTATCAACAATAGTAGTAATGAAACGGATAGCAACAGCTACATTAGTTGTAGCGATAGTATGCGAATCCTATGGTCTGGTTGGAAAACAAGTCTTCTGGTTAATTTGTTCAAGTAAGTACATGATGTTTCATATGCCTTTTTAGAGAATAATGTAACTTCCCGAGAATTGAATCGCACTCTACGAATCCAAGCCAGTTCTCACTAGCTGAAGCCGCGAACACACACACACAGTGCATCACTCAAGTGCTTGAGCTACCGTGAGGTATCTAAGTTTGTGCATTATGCCTATTACCGCTTTGCTCTAAATACTTTTAGAAACAAAGAGTTTTTGCAAAAACTAATAGGATATCAGGTCAAATCAATACAACCGTAAATGCTCTTTTATAAGCTCACCCCTCCCCCCCTCCCTCAAGAAATATCAATTTTCGTCAGAAATTTCGAAATTGAGATAAATGCATGGAAAGATAGCCCGCGATCTGCTCTTTCATAACTGACAAAAAGTTTTCCTCGATACCTCTTTTTTGTCCAAAATTTTCGAAGATTTTCGTCACCCTCATT